CATTAACACAATTGGATATCAGGATAGGGATCATGATTTAGTTTAAGATCTTGTTTCACTTCCATTTGCAGAAAAAAAATCCAAAAAGACAATAGGTGTGAAATGATATAAACTATCATACTATGGAACAAGCTTCCAGACGGATGTAGTGAAGGTTACATTTGATTCGATTAAATGTAGTGATCCCCAGTTGGGATATTGTACATCTAAATCTAGATTTTGGAATGAGAAATGTTTCATTCCAAAGAGTAGAATTGTTCACATGTTTAATTTTAGTATTGTTTTAGAGGCCATAGTTTCAGTTTGTGCTTTCATTGTATTAGAATGCATGATATTCTCTGGTCTGTTAGCTAACTCAGTACCGTAGGGAGGGCTTGGCGATGAGGCTGGGTCGGGGCAGAGTGCTCGCTCGGCTTGATGATCCGGAGGCAGACGAGCTGAGGGTCAGCAGACTGGGGTCCAACAGCTCGATGAGCTCCACGTCCTCCTGCAGCAGCACATCCTGGTCCAGAATGCACTTCACCGAGTACTGGCCGAATACACCATCCTACAAGAGAAAGAGAAACGCATGAAAAAAAGAAAGCGCATTTAAATATAAAACTAAGTGTAGTGCTGGTTTTAGTGCCAGCATTCCTTTCCGTTTCAAATGCTACCTACCAGCTGCTGGCCCATCTTACGAGATGCAGCCTGCTGATTCGGACTCCATCTCCACAACGCTTCAGCCAGTCTCCATAGGCGACCGCCCTGCAAATCACACAAAGGGGAAAGGTTAATTTGCTGTCAATTAGGTAACGGTGACATAACAGTTTTGCAGGGCTTTCCATCATTGTATGCCCAGGGAAAGCCCCAGTAAATCAGCTAAATATATTCCATTGAAGAACGAAATGATTCACCTGAAGATCTCAGTCATTCTGCTGTGCTTCTTTTAGCTTGGGTTTATTTTCCAGGAATCACACACCCATTAAATAACAAACAAGCACACACTCACAGTGAAAAGGAGTATCCCAGGAGACCATCTCATTCAGGCGGCAACAATAAGTGCAATGTGTGTGCGTAAAAACATGTATCCAGGTCTTTTTTAGCTCTGCAGCGGCACACAAACCACATGACCACATCAATTTGTTAAATTCTGTGTTATAACTAAACGTTTTTCCTTTCAACATCCATACAACTTGTTGACAGAGGATTATTTTAGTTTTAGAACGTCTTTCTTTGGAGACAAAGAAGCACACACAAACACACTTCAGTTTGATTTCTTGCTTCTTTAGAGTTTCTAACGTGGACTTTCACTTTTTAAGTGTTTGACAATTCGATGCATACCGTGACAAAGCTTAGGCTGTTTGAATTGTTTGTTGCAGGTTTTTCTTGCAGGTGCTTAACAGCCTAATAGAAATTCCAAACCATGTCATTTGTAATCAGGAAGAAAAATCTCTAATCTGCTTAGAGTGCTTTATGGCATGTGGGAAATGCTTTGTTTGAAAATGGGATTCATTTTTGAAGGATTCTGTTGAGAAACCATCATCACAACATCCTGTAGTTTGCTCTAGGGGTTATTGATCCATACTGGGCTAGCTGACCTCTTTTCTAGAGGTTAAAGCAAAACTGTTATTAGTGGCACTAATATTGATGAGTGATTTGAGACTGAGTTTCAGGTCTGGGCATTCTCACTCCTCAGCTTTGAAGTAGTTCACAAACCCCTGCTTCTAACATTCTCTGTAGCATCAAAGCAGCTCATCCCGCCAATACCACCACAGAGATGATGTAAGCGCCGTACAGATTAACTCACAGATGTCTGCACTCTCGCTACTGTATTATATCCAGTCACCGTCGGTTCTTGCTCATCAGTATTCTCCTGCTGTCACACACAGACACACTCCAGCATGCAGACACTGTGCTGAGAGAACAGACAGACTCTGCACGGACAGCTGTTGAATTGATACGATTCTCATATTTGCCCAAAGCTAGAGAAGGATATGTTTAGCTTAGCATAGCACAATGACTGGAAACAATTCAAACTAACTTAGTGTTTTTTCCAGGCAGGCATGCCCAAATTGAAGTGCTCCATCCTTTCAAAAATAATCGTTCTCCTCATTTTCTTTAATACTTGTTGTTTGGAGATGTTCACCTGCCGCCTAGTGATTACTGTCCCACTTGCATACGTTTTTGGCTTATCCTGCATGTTCCTGAAATATCACCAGCTTCCACATGTAAAATCATTCAAATGACCTCTATAAATGTCCGTTATATATAACAGGCCAACCGTCAAGGACATGCACACATACTGTACCACACATGTTGCATGTGAGCCCTAATCAGTAAAAACATTTAACAGTAATGTAAAGAGAGATAAGCTATGGTCTGTCTACGTGGAAAAGGTGTTTTGCTTCGGCTCCGACTTTATCTGAGCAGCAGGAAGCTGGTCACACAGGGACGACACGAAGGCTTTCCTGTCCCATCTGAATCCTCTTCCTCCTTTACTCCTTAGAACAACAGCGTGCCAGAGAGGAAGCATGACACAGACGGAAAGTTCCTGAGCGAAACAAACACAAAACTGTTTCCCGTCGTAAGAGGGGGGGGGGGGGGGTCATGTGATCCTGAGCTTCCCAGGACATAATAATCCTCTGTATGAATCACAAGTCGACTCGATTGACGGTTAAAGACACGATACAAAGTAGGAGGATGCTCACAGAGGCAGGAATAACGCCACACAGAGAGCAGAGTCGCTGTAAAGGCATTACACTCTCTCTTCTAAAATCAGAACATCTGCTGTGTGATTACAGAGTAAAGAACATGCAACGCAAAATACCTGCATCAGTGAGTGGAGAGCCCTTGATGCCATGTCTTGTCAGATTATAGTGAAGCATACGGTAATCCAGTGCACACAACAGTCTGTCAGAGATTGTGTCAATATGTGTTGCCGTTTGGAGTCAATAGTCAAATTAATTACTTTCTGTGTGACGGCACAAATCAAACAGTGACTGACACACACATTGCCCCCGGTCAGGGACAGTATTTGAATAGTGATGGGAATTTTTCTAGATGTATTTGTTTATAAAAAGTCAGAAAATGCCTTTCGCATTTCCCAGAATCACTGCCGTGTTTCTCCATATCAAAATGAAGCCTACAATTTTTTTTAAAGTATTGTTATTGTTTTTAATTTATAATTTGGGATACCACAGATGAAGTTAGATTGATGATCCATGTTATAAATATAGTTTATAGTTAATTTAAGAGTGGACAGTGTTAGGGTTGAGGACAGGCTTGTGTGATGTCTGTGTTGAGAATTGGAGAAACTCACTGAAGTTTTGTGTGGATCTTCGTCGGAAGGGGTGAGGTCTCCGCCATATTCGTCCTCCTGTGATGCCGTTGGACATGCCTCAAAGTCTGTGTGCCCTAGATCATGCAGGTACTGGAAAAGAGGGGAGTTCTGCAGAGAGAAAGAGAGACAGATTGAGAAGTAGTTGAGAAATTGGGGAAGCAAGAGACTTTGCCGGACTGGAGTACAGGAGATGAAAACGGTCACAAGGCTGAAGCAAGCTTAGCTGGTTTCCCCTCAGTGTGAATCCAAAGGTGTCATGACTCTTCTAAGTGAGGAAACTGATTCGTCAAAACAGTCTACTTCCCTCAGGGTCAGATACAGTGGAGGCACCAATATATTCCCAAGCCTACCATCTTTCATCAATGCAGCATTCTGCTCTGCGAGGAATGCTGTAAAGTGCCTTCATATGTGAATCTGTAAATTCCTCATACAAATGAGAGGACTGTCTTTTAAATCTTCAGATCATAATCCTATCTCCTCATAGAGGAATACATAAAGGCAATGATGGTTCTTATCCAAACAAAGAAAGCTCAGAATGAAATCAGCCACGAAATAAGCAGAGGAGGAAAACATCCCATGCTAGAATTTGTCCAAAGATGTCTGACCCATTTCTCCCCCAGCTGCTGGAAGCACCTCTGCTGCTGTGTTTTTGTGCACAGCTGCATCTTAGCTATAATTAACCAATCATAACATGCTAAATGCCAGTCGAACAATGAAAGCTACTCACATGCATTGTCACACGAAGCAGCAGCTCATGTTGTCACCACCCAGACGTAGCTGCGTCTGTATGTCAATGTTTTTTTTCCTCCAGAACCGACGCATTGGGTCTGGTCCTCCCCACCCCACCTCTAACTATCAGACCAGCAATGATGAAACACCAACAACAATGCGCGCACTGGCACAGCTCAGCCCCCTCTCATGACCACCAAAGCTCCTTGGCAGAAACACAGTTAGCAGCCGGCCAAATATGTTGATTTGTTTGGGGTTGCCAATACATGGCAACAGGGCAAACGACTGCTAATGTGAAGCTAGCATACTTGCTAGGTTGCTAAGCTATCCGTGTAAGCTAGCTGACGTTAATGAACCCCAACGTCTGTTACCTCAGAACTCGGGAGGTATGACAAAGCATCCGTAAGTTTCAATTTTAAAAAACAGCGGCTATAATACCAACCTCAAATACCACATCTTCATCAAACTCCTCAGTCATTGCTCTCCGCCATCTATACACAGCCCGTGTTGCATACTGAAGTTGTAGGCGACAGTTGTCAAGAATGCCGCTGAGAAGTTGGGAGTTAGCCGGTTGCTAAACTTTGCATAAGACTACTATTCCCATAATGCTCGTTTCTCAACGGCAGCTTGCTCGCGAGCAACGACAAGCGCTCGTATCAGTGCGCCTCATGCGGGCGCGAAAGGCATTGGACCGACTGTTGGGAAAACCAAAATGAATTGACCGGAAATCATTTCAAAATAAAACACTACACATCTTTAATAGTTAGTAGTTAGCCAGAAACACAGCAACTACCAGTACATTATATTCATACTTAGTGAAAATATAGTCTTCAACAAATATTAGGCTTACTTATGTGTTTAACGTCATATTATAACAACTGCAGCTGATCTTTTGAAACAACACATTTATTTTGAAATGTATGAACGGAACTGAGTTGTTTTTATGTGTCCTACTTGACTTGCTTGGGAAAAGCACCGTGGCTGAAAACTTCGGGAAAAATGGAAAAAGTAACAGGCGTAAAAACTGTATCGGTGCATCCGCTTGCAAGATAAGGACCGACAGCGATGGATCTGCATGTTTTCTCCCTGAAGTGGTTTTCTAACTGACAATGGTGTCGAAGGAGGAAAAACTCAGTTTTTTCTCGCAATTCCATTGAAAGTTTACAAATGGAGAAAGGAGCAAGTCGGGAGTCATGAGCACAGGTTTGTTTCGTGGGGAGCTAACTTTACTTAGCAAAATCTTGCTGTGCAAGCATATATTGTAGTTATCTACAACTCAATGCAAATAACGTCAGTTCTTCTGTGTATTCGCAAAAAGTGTAAATCACTACAATTTTAATGTCATAACGGACGCATCCGCTCTATTTTTACTCAGCCACAGTTAATTACACTTTTTTATAATAACACCTTTCGAAAGTAAAAACATACATGTGAGTGCTTTCTAAAACGCAATCATAACTGGTAATCAAAAATGTTCTTTTCTGTTTGATATTACACTTTACCGTTGCAGCTGAAGGGGGTTAAATCCTTTGTCTTAAAACATCTGTCCTGCTGTTGGTGCAACAAACCGGACTCGATAACAAGCGGCAGTGTTAACATCTCATATAAAAAACAGTTAACATTTGCCAGGATAAAGAGGGATATCCCCAGTGAAATTGGATATGTGCAATAGAGTTATAAGGAGTTCTTGTTTTTCCACGAAAGGAGCTGTTTAAGCCCTAGTGTTGACTTTTACTGCGAAAGCACAAGGCCAGACTCCACTTATAAATCTAACATTTTTAATGAAACCTTAGTTTTTATTAGGCTCAAATATCATAAGACATACTTTTTAAAGCCGTGATAGCATTAATGGCATGTACTGGCCAATTCGGCTTTTATATAAAGAGACCAAGTAACATTTTTGAATAAGTTTGAGATTGATTCTCATTGCACATCACAGCCATCAATGATACATTCTGATATGCATTTGGGTGAACCATTAATAAAAACGGAACTTTTCTATTAAAATGTGTATGCCGAATTGAAAATTCGAAATGATTAATAGGGATGTTAACTGTCCCATGACGCTGGCAGTTTAGTTTTGAAGCCCATTGACTCTATATGTATTGTTTCTTTTATAAGAGTGTGGATGTGCAAAGAGGCAAAGACAGGGCAGCATGTTTCGCGTGCAGAGCGTTTCTGATCGTGGCCTCTCGGAAACAACCGCTCGATGACTCCACTTCTCGTGGTGACGGCCAGCCGGGAGATTCAGCCAGGAAAGCGGAAAATATCTCCTACAATCTCAATTGGCAGCTTTTTATTCGTGGAGAGACCGTTTTTTTAAATTCTAACTTTATTTAACAATTGTAATCATTGAGATTCTGGTTGTCTCATCAACTTAACATATTATAATAGAGGCACTTATTTCTGGCAGATATTTAGTAGTTCCATGTAGTTTGAGAGAACAACAAATACACTTAAGTCTAACTCAGTTCAGAGAACAATAGAAAGCTTTAATGGTAGTTTATAACATTTGATTTAGAGAATAAGTTAAGACAGTTTTACTTTACTATTTACTTCCACAAGTGTGGTGTAAGCCCTTCATGAGATAATTACTTAATAATAACACATGCCTGAATTTATTTCACACATTACTCCAGTCCTCAGTCCTTCCCCTCTGACCCTAAGATTAACCTTTTTGACCTGAGCTTAATCCACAGTTTGCAGCTGTCTATGCTTATATTGGAGGAAGTGTGGATGAAGCATGGTTTATCGGTGCTCTTCTGGTGGGGTGTGATTCATTTAAAAAAAGAGTTAATAGTCTCAAACTGTCTTGTAACTTTCGTCCCTCTTCTTTTCATGCAGGTGTGAAGAAGCCACCATTAGCGCCCAAACCTAAACTCCCTGGTACCACCAAACCCTCCCCCCCGCCCATCGCCCCCAAACCAGGTCTCCTCTCCCAGCCTCCCATCGTCTCCCAACCTTCCCCGTCTACTCTAAAGAGGACAAAACCGGCTGTCGCCCCCAAACCATGCATTCCTAAATCCGTAGCTTCCCCTGTTTCAACCCCGCCACTTAAACCCAGTGAACCCCCCCTCCTATGTCAGGAACAGCAGACAGCTTTAGGTGATAACCTCTCCCTTCTCAACTCCAGAAATGGGATTTTATCGGAGACTAACAAACGTGACTCGGATTACATCATTCCCACCTGCTCTTGTGGGCTCCAGGACTGTTCCCAGTGCCAGCATCTGGAAAATGGAAGTACAACTGAGAGCGATTTTCACAAAGAGCCGTTGCAGAATGGGATTTCTACAGAAGGATTCACAGAGACGAGGCCACAAGGGAAAGAAAAACGCCCGGAGGAGGGAGTAGCTGTGGATAAGGTTGAAGGTGGAGGGATTGGCAAAAAGCCCAGGGATAAACCTCAAAGACAAAGACACCTGGAGAGGGATTTGTCTAACAAAGAAGCACAGAGGACTGAGGAGCAGGAGGAGGCTGTGAAACATGAGGAAAGTGCTGTTGCTGAGCCTGATTTTTCAATAGCAGATGTAGAGACTGAGGCCCATCACACAGATTTAACAGACTCAGTCTTGGATGTTGCAGGCAGCATCATTATCTCACCCTCTATCACTCCTCATGAGTCTTCTCCAGAATCCTTTCAGGTGGAGCATATAATCACAGCCTCTCCCACCAGGTTACTCCCTGATCTGCAGGTCCCTGCTGCCCCCAGTAAGCCTCTCCCAGTGCCTCACCCACGCAAACTTAAAAAGCCTGCCCTGGTGAGACAGGATGGCGTGGAGGGCAGTGCCCAGGATCAGGTGACGGAGGAACAAACACTTGAGATGCGAGAGGATGAGGGCAGTCAACCGGCTCTGTCTCTCAGTCAGGAGGGAGAGGAGCTCAGACAGGACTCGTGTGAGGAACCTTTACCCCGAAAAGACTCATGTTTGGGAGATGATGAAGCCGACGCGCCCGTCCCCCCTCCTCGACAGACCTCCCTCTCGCCTCGCCTTCACAGGACAGTCCACATGTCACCCTCTCTTAACAAAAACACCTCCCACTCCTTAGTCCTGCTCTCACACGCTGACTCAATGAGCCACCAAAAAGGAGGAGCGGACCACCGGGTAGAGGAGGACGAAGAGGACGGGTATGGCGACTTTGAGCGCTACCCCATCACTCACAGCCTCCCCAAACAGATCAAACTCGGCTGTAATCTCCCTCTGGGTAACGCCAGGAGAGCTTTCTCTGCCGAGGATCAGCCAAGTGCGCCCCCCAGGAAACCTCAGAGACACAGCCTGCCAGCAGCACACTGCCCACCCTCCTTCTGCCCCCCTGCACCTCCACACGCTAACACCCCCATGAGGGAGCTGCCTGCGCCTCCTCAGGAGAAAACGGCCTGGCGCTTCACCCGACCCTGCGTGACCTTCTTCAGCCGGCAGATTCCCTCCCGGAGCAGCATGCCTCCAAAGAGCCGGGCTCCAGCACTGGGGGGAAAACAGAGGGCGCAGTCTTTCTCTGCAGCAGACCTGGCAACCCGGGCAGACTCTCATAAGAGGAGCCTCTCTTTCCGGAAGCTGCTGGAGCTCCGGCTGTCTGTCAAGATGCTCCCAAAGCTGCTGGCCAAGGGAGGGCAGTCTCTGGACTGTACCAGCGTGGAGTCCACCCGGGGGGAGAGGAGGCTGGAGCGGCCCACCAGCTGCATAGTCGAGTCTGATATCTGTGGAGAAGATGGAGATGGGTCAGTGGAGTATGAGAACGTCCCTCTGTATGAGGAAATCCCAGAGTACATGAACCTGCCGTTCCACGGTGCGAGGCTGGGCTGGCCTCACGACCCAGACGGAGCAGATTCAGACATCTATGAAGTGCAGGATCCCTATCACAGGAGCAACAACCACGAGTACGAGGGGTACGTATAATGCATATTTAAAATGTTGTTTAAGGGTGTAACTAATGATTATTTATTTAGTTGATTTGGTCTTATCTTGTAGCAGTGTATTTGTTAGTTAGTAGAGCAAGGACAAAAGTTTAGGGAAGAAATCAATGGGAACAAAATGCAACACAGGTTGCTCAACTGGATTTGAATCTGACACATTGCCCTAACCCCAGCGCGCCCATTTATTTTTATGATTTATTATTTGATTGTTGAGTCTCTGTATGCTTACCAGCTACTTCTATTAGACACTTTTCCAAAAATGTACTGCAATAAACGACATCAAATGTCTCAATCAACAGTGAGATAATAAGGAAAAGTAGCAACTTGTCTCCTTTAATAAGCTGGGAACAGCAAATGTTTGGCATTATTTTGTAAATGAATTGCTAATCAAATTGTAGAGTTATATTTTTAACCCCCTTCTAATAGATTGCCAACCTCTCGTTTCAGCGCTAATCTTTTAATTCGTTTTTGAAAGGTTATCTAGCAGTAACAGATGTTGTAGAGGAGTTATCAACTAAGTAAATACTCTATACTTTTTGACAGTTGTTATCAATTCAATTTTCCTGCTAAGTTTAAGAACAAACAACCCTTATTTCCAAACAAAGGCAATATGTGTTTGTGTGAGAGAGTTTATTTAGGCTGAAGTCCTGAGCACTTGCTGCCAGTTTGTAATTTCAAGTGACCGTTGCTTGAGTGTACGACAGGTTGCACAGGTGACGTTAGTGGTTTGAATTTACAACAGTGAGAAAGTGGCCTTTGAGCCAGTGGCATTGAATTTGAATGGAGCGTTGGTGCAGGTCGGCCTGTTTTCCTGTGGGTTATTTTCAGTGGCCTGGGCAGGAAATGTCTGAGAATCGCAGAAACGCCACACAGCTCTCTAGAACAGGAAAATAAACCTCCAGCAACCACTAGCCTCCTCCTCCTCGGACTGCACGCCTTCGCTCTGCGTTTAGCCTCTTCATAACCCCATCACTCCTTTTTTCTCCGCTGTGCCACTGAAGTGAGTTATTTCAAACAAGTAAATTGTCTTTTAAATCCTTAAACCTCTGGAAGAGTGGCAGTTTGCAGAAAAAAAACTAAAAAGTATTCAAAGAAAACATTTTTAGGATGAAAATAAAAATAGGGACACATAGGATTTGAAGATTATTGGCTGTGGGAATACCAACAAAAATAAAAAATCATAACAAAATGTTATATATAACATTTTAAATTGAGCTTAACCCATTCATTATATTCAAAATCAATACACTTAACACTTATCACTTATTCTTAAGTGAATTAACAGTCGTGTGACACTGCAAGCAAATGTCCTGAATCACATTTATGCTATTAACATCCCGTTGAGCCCTTTATGTCCCGGACTGCTGTGATTAGGAGATGTTCTGTGCCCATGATTCCTGTTTCCTCTGACTGACAGTGGCACAACAGGTGATGAAGTCGATGCCACTTAGGTGATAATAACGCAGCCATTAAATGGATTAAGATGAACCCTCACTCTGTCGTTGGCAGGGTGTTTCTGTGTTAGAGAGGAGAAAGAGGGAGCGAGTTAATCTGTCGTTTTTCCCAGGCATCTGAGCCTATTAAGTTTATGTAAGTAGCCTCAGGCTGTAAACAAGTGGTGCTCTGTGCCTGATCCAGTGTGTTGGAATGCTCCACTATAGAGAAAGCATAAGGGGGAAAGGGGGGGATTGAGGTATAAGAAACTGTCGGGAGCCATGTAAGAAAAACAGGGAAGTGGAGAGATTGGGCTATTGCTGATGAGAGTGAAAGGAAATGTGAGGGGGTTGTGGAGTCCCACAGTCTTTCCTATCCAACATTTACTGAGAGCTATCACTCGTTTTGCCAAGATAAAACGTCAACAATCCTCTTTACAAAGCATCATTAGGAAAAGGGAAACAGCTGGACTCGGGTCCACAATTCAGGAAATATACAATGTGTAAACTTTAAATTGGAATCAACAGCAATTTATGGAAATATAAGGGAAATATGGTGGGAATCTACTCAGGCTGTTTACCATGTCATATGCAGATTTATACCAACCTGTTACCATATTATGAGCAAACTTATTCCATTAATTTGTCAAATAAATCCATTATTTTCCCAAAAAGCTACATCACACATGGCAAGTTGGCAGAAACGAGTTATAAACTGGGTACCTTTCTTTTGCTACTACCTGCAGGTCAGCTGCAATATTATTAAAGTAGGGCTGCTCAATTAATCGTATTTTAATCGCAATTACGATTATGGCTTGCAACGATTACGAAAACAACGTAATCGAAATAAAACGATTTAAAAAAAATTATTATACTTTTTTGTTTGGATTTTCAGTTGAGTTATACTTAAAGTTCAGGGTAATCAACTGTTAAAAACATACTGTTCAAAAAAATGTTATCAAATAAATTGATGTTTTCAAAGTAAATGGATAATCGTTTTTAATAATCGTGATATCAATTATTGACCCAAATAATCGAGATTACGATTTTTGCCATAATCGAGCAGCCCTATATTAAAGTATAAAATGTGTTTCCGTCAATAAGATAATCAAGTTGAAAAGCATACAGTCTTTTGGCCTTGACTATGCTGAAGGGTTGTATACAATATCTGAAATATTGAAATTGTGTGACTTCCCTGGGATATTTCCGATCTTTTGCAACCCTAACCAGGACTAGACCGAGGAGGCAAATCCAAACATATTACCTCCCCCTCATTTCATCAGTCAGACCACTTCATTGTACGGGAGCGATCAAAACATCAGTGACACACTAACGCATGTTGCTGCTTGCGCTAACCTGGCAGACAGAGCCATCATATCGCTGCCGGCAGCAGGGTGTATACAGAATAATAAAAAAGATATATCTGGTACAGGCATACCTTACAAGAATACAAATAATTAGGACTGGGCAATATGGCTGGAAGAAACATAATAATAAAATAATCTCAATTTGAATCAGGATATTTGTTTGAATAATGATGAAGTCTCTAAAATGTCAAAAAACAGCAAAAGAAATACCTCGTCATCACATCCTATTCACTATCATATCTCACTGGTTTTGCTTGCAACACAACATATGTGTTTTTAATCTTTTATAACTGCACAAAAGTATTTTCTTTGTCTTATTTCAGGCCATGGATTTAAAATTCTAATCAACCAGTGTTGACATTTTCTTTAAATATCCTTAAGAGACATTTTTCTTTTCATTATAGATGTGTTCACAGTGATTTCAATATTTTCCATCGTTGTACAACACCTCTGAATGCGTTTTGCTCTTTTACTGACTCATATGTTTCTTCTGAGCAAAGATTGAGTTAATTTATGACCTTGCACAAAACTCTAATCTTTATTTAACCAGGGAGTGTGTTTCTGAACTCACACTCCTCTGCAGCCCTGCCCTGCGTCTCATTCACACATTTAAACATTCTCTCTGAAGCCAAGCTCAATTCTGTGTGTGTTGAATGTTAGCAGCGGTTGGCTGGGGCAGGACGTCCACTCTGAGGAGGAAGAGATCCACAGTTCAGATGAAGAGGACAACAGCTCCTCCTCCAGCAAGGAGCACATGGACGAGGCCGACCGACAGGTAAACTAGTTGACCTGAGAGGAGAACACTGTCTTTATAAAGCAATGATTATACATTTCTAAACTAATTAAGTATAAAACTGAAACATAAGCCAGCACATGATGACGGATCATTTCCGGTGGTTTCTATGCCAACATGCCTTTTAATTTCTGGTATATTTTTTCAAAAGCTGTTCATTGAAGACAGAGACAAATGTTTTTTTATATAAACACAGTATTTATTCTTTTCAAAATGGCCAGTCACTTCAACAAAAATACTCTTATTATGGCTAAAATAAAAACACACTTTAGCCCCTATATTTCACAAATGATTCATATAAAATCATTAGAATTATCATATCAAAAATGACAGAAAAATGTTTTAACCAACAGTCGAAAACCCTGATAAATTACTTATTTTTTATTAAAAAAGTGACTGTAAAAGCCCATTTTAAAACCTTAAAAAACATAAATACCTTGAAATCCGTTAAGGGTTTCCTGAACTCAATGTTTGAAGCAAACACTGCTTTAATGTGACTGCTTTACACAATAAGGAAAAATACTACAGAGACGTTACTACTTCCTAAGAAAGAGGAGAGCTACTTTTATGGAAAATGACTCTGCTTTCAGGCATGAACATGTCAGATAGGCCTGGCATTCACAGTTTACAATGGACGTCTCATATCACTGCCTGTGACTAAGCTGTCACTGCAGCCACTGGAGATAGTGTGTCCGTTACAGCGCTTTAGAAGTGTGTGTGTACGTGTGTGTTTGGAAGGGGGGATGGTGAGCAAACACAGAAGGGTTACAGGTTCAGGAATAGCTCTCCAATGAGCTGTTTTTTTTCTTCTTTCTCCGTCCTGTGTGACCCTCTCCATGATACTGTCAGCACCTGTGTCTGATGCCCCTCAAACCTCCAGGGTATCACTAATACAGAGGGGAGGTGGGGGGGCATGGCCACTGTCCAAATTAAGTCATTGAAAGACCGCCCCCATTACCATTCAACAACACACACCATCAGAGAGACACAGAGGGGAAAGAGAGGAAGGGAAAGGGGAATGTTGTCGCTGTCCTCTCGGGATTGAGTTTTTGGAAGTCTGTAAACTCAATCCTGATGGTTTGACAGAAAAAAACCAGGACCATGGTGATTTGCAGCGAGTCAGTGAGTGTACAGCGATCAGTTTTAGGTGAGATCGGTTGCTGTTAGTCTTTATGTAGCTTTGTGAAACTGTTTGTGTTTCTCCTCTTCAGCAGGAGGATGAGATGAAGAGGAAGAAATTGGTGCACATCGCCCAGGAGATCATGAGCTCCGAGAAAGTGTGAGTGTTTTTTTAATGAACCGGAGCCCTTTTTAACTTTAAATAAGATTAAAAAACAGTTAAAGACTTTCTTATTTACTAATAAGTAAAAAAGTACTTTTACTTCTGGTACTGGAATGTGTACAGTTGCATAAAATGGACAAGAAAAAGTATATGTACCTCAAAATTATACTTAAACAGAGTACTTAAATGTACTTTACATTCTTACATAACCAGCAGCACATGATAACACAAAGTGATGTATTTATTTAACTGATGTATTTCTGTTATTTTCAGGTTTGTGGATGTCCTGAAGCTTCTTCACATAGTAAGTGTCTTGTTTATTAAAGAGTTGCATTAAAGGAACCGTAAAGAGTGCCTTTTACATAATAAAAAGTACCGTGCCTGCCTACACTGTGATTGTTTTGAATTAGGTTCAACGCTTTTTCCCAGGGAGGGACATGAATTAATGAGGTCTCGGCGGGTGTTGTTTTTGCCACAGTGCCCGTTCAGAGCTGAATAATTTAGTTTTTTCAAAGTTGCTGTGTAGGAGGGTTTTTAGTTTACTCTGGTCGGCAGTGGAAAGGTAAACGCAGGGCCAAGTCGAAAGGCTTTGACCAGTCCTATTGCAGGGAAACATCTATTTTTGTGCAAGAAAAAGAAAGCACACATGGTTCTTCAGTTAGGGTTCGTCCAGCTCTGTTAAGGTGAGCTGTGTAGTTGGTCTGCGGAGCTTCAATATTGATGGTTTCATGTCAAATCAGTTAGGTGAGGGTTGCTTTCAATAACATAAGGCAACATCCTAATTTCAAGTACATACAGGCCATTTATGCTAGTATTTTACATAAAGTATATGTTTTAGTTGTTCTCCCTGCAGTTTGTTTTGTTAAAATGTTGTTTTCATGTGCTTCCTTGCTTCAAGCAAATGTAATTTCCTGAAGCAATGCAGCGAAAATGATTTTTTTCCCCATAAAGAAAGTTTTATGTGATATCCCTTTGTATTTTAAAGAGACGTTCATTTATATGCCTAGAGATAAAGAAATGCCCCCATGTATAATGTAACGAAATAACGTTTTTCTTTATCATTCTGTTGTCAATATGATACGATCTGAAAATGGTTATCAATTACCCAGAAGTATTTTAAAAAGGGACTTTTTTTTAGGTATGTCCAATGTGTACGAAAATCCTAATCACGATTGATTCTTCATTTAAAAACAGACTTCTGGTTGTTCCTCTGTGCAATATAGGCTCTCTTGGCCGATTTAGTTTAAAAAATAAATCCACTAAAATTATGTTTTGTCTCGGTCCCCATGTTGAATGCTCGTAGCTTTTTGAATGGAAAGGAACCATGTGACTGGAGGAAGTCAGGTTTTTATTTAGGGGAAGTGCCTGAAAAAAAAAAATGTGGGAGAAGAATCAGGTTGTGATTTCTAATGTCAGTATGTGTGAAGTTAACATGCCATCTATACATTAGAGTACTTTTTAAGTATGCTAGTTGTTACATTTGACAGGAGAGCTCTGCCTTTATATACATTTGTTAAGCCAAGGATAGCGCCTGTAGTCTCTGTGTGTCCTGAGGAAAATCCCAGGTGAGAAGGGTCGGGGGTCCACCTGTCTGTCCGCCTCAGATGCAGCTTTAGTGAAGCCCACCCTGCAGGATTAGTTTTAACGTCGTCCTGTGGCTGACGAGGGGGGGTGTTCTGTGTGCTCTGACCAAGAAAAGAGGTCAGATCAAATTCTTCTCTCCGCTCTGCCGGCCTGACAGCTGCCTCCTCAGGCCATAGAGACGACCTCCAGACCCACACATACCTCAGATAATCCTCCAGTATGAGTGTGTGTGTTGTGTGTGCAGGTGTGTGTGCGTGGTTTGGGGACTTTGCTTGTGCTTATTTGTGGCAGGTCGTCCATCTGATTTGTTTGCATGTCCTCAGGACATTTTTTGAAGTGGGTTTATTTTAAGCGTCCATCTGTGTTTTGTGAATATTAGAACGGACGTTGGTCATTTGTAGTCTTCTTTTCTCCGTGTTTGTAATTTGTTTCTGTTAGTTCTGTATCTAATTCTGCCCTGGTGGAGCTAACTGGGTTAGTTTTTACTATCTTGTTTTTGAAGTTTTGTTTATGTTAATATTAGGGCTGTCAAACGATTACAACATTTAATCAGATTAATCACAGCTTAAAAATTAATTAATCATGATTAATCACCATTCGAACTATGTCCAAAATATGCCATTTATTTATGCATATTGTTGTGGGAATGGAAAGATAAATGAAAGAAGGCGGATATATCCATTTAACATACAGTATCTATGTTTATTATAACATTTTTCTGCGTGTCAAAATGAAAGACAACCCACAGACCTATCAATCATCAAACCGTGGGGTCTTAATTCATTACGTGTTGATTTCTATCAACGGGGGAGTACTTCAGGAAAGTCGACGGGGGGGCGGCGGCTAGTGGAGTACTTCGTGACCACAGAGTGTGAACGTTGTAGCGCAGTTCTCCGGTGAAGGGGGGGGGAGAAAGTCTCCCTCCGTAGCCGGTTGGCGTAGTTTTGGCACAATTCCGTTGTACAGACCGACGTTAACAGCAGCCCTGTCTGTGCACACGGAGACCGACTCTGTCGTCCGGTGATCTAACCGCCTTCTGGAAAAGCTTCACAAGTCCGTCGGTACGCAAATGCGCTTTGTGACACAAGTGACGGTACGCATTTCAGAGAGATTACGCACACAACCTGCGTACCAGTTATGTGCACCCCCGTACTACAGCAAAAGTATTCTCCGTCGGGACTTCCTGCAACAACACCACGCCGTTATCAAATATATTCTATTGAGAAGACGATCACTACGTGACAAAAGTTTTCAAAACCGTGGCTACTGAAATCAATCTTACTAACTGCTGTATGTGCAATTTACTCTGCGCGAGTTGGCAGACTTCATTTTGCTTCCTTTAACATCATTTTTCATGGTGGGGCTAAGCCATTTCTTGGTATGGGTGTAGCCTACCCCAGCCATACCCTGGCGCTGCCACTGGTGGCACGTATGGGGCGGGTCATTCTGCACATGCGTTAAATGCGTTAAATATTTTAACGCAATTAATTCAAAAAATTAATTACCGCCGTTAACGCGATAATTTTGACAGCACTAGTTAATATATCAAAAACTTGATCAGATAATGAGGTGTCAGTATGATATGATACATTTGGCAGAAATGTATTGTTTGGTTAATTTTCTGCATATAAATATAATGTATAATATTGAGTGTGATTGATGTCTTCATTACTTTATTTGTATTGCTGAATGGACTCTGCCTGTCACCTGAAAGTTAATGATGCAGTAAATTAAAGTGGGGATGGCAGAAAATGTGTGTGTGAGCACATAGAAACCAGGACGTTGTGATCCAGCGCCTCCCTGCTTCCTTCCAGGTGGATGTGTGTGTTGGCACACTGGAAAAAGGACAGACTGCCGAGTCAGCTGTGTGTGTGTGTGTGTGTGTGTGTGTGTGTGTGTGTGTGTGTGTGTGTGGTGTGTGTGTGTGTGTGTGTGTGTGTGTGTGTGTGTGTGTGTGTGTGTGTGTGTGTGTGTGTGTGTGTGTGTGTGTGTGTGTGTGTGTGTGTGTGTGTGTGTGTGTGTGTGTGTGTGTGTGTGTGTGTGTGTGTGTGTGTGTGTGTGTGTGTGTGTGTGTGTGTGTGTGTGTGTGTGTGTGTGTGTGTGTGTGTGTGTGTGTGTGTGTGTGTGTGTGTGTGTGTGTAGCAGGGGGCACTTTACGAGGTGATAACCAGGTGTTCCTGTTCAGCTGCATGTTGTCATGTGTCACCCCACCCTGTACAGCTGTGTGTGTGTTATAAATAATGATGGCATTCCCACTCTGTGCCTACAGGACTTTCGGGACGCTGTTGCCAAGGCAACCCGTCAGAATGGCAAGCCGGTGGTGGACGAGCGGATCCTCAGCCAGATCCTGTACTACCTGCCTCAGTTGTACCAGCTGAACAGAGACCTGCAGAGGGAGTTGGAGGACCGAGTGGCACACTGGTAAACACACACATAACACTACAGCTCCCATAATGCTCTGGGGGATGTTGCAGTGGATTCAGTGATGGATGATGTGGGCTGCAACTAAAGCTGTGTATTTTTTAGACCACACTTTATAATAATGTATTGTAAAGCATTTTACTTGAAGCACTTAGAAGGTACCCAAAGACATGTACAGGTGAAAATTCCTAAAACATTCCTAAAAATACACACACTTTAAAAGGACAACACAAAATATCAATTACATATTAAAAGCAGAATTGAGAAGGTGAGTTTTGATTTAGGATTTGAGTATGGATTGATTGGTGCATTCTCAGATGATTTTCGATAGAGAGGTGTAAACAATTTAGCGCATTTTTGTTATCAGACACTTGAAATTATTCCCAAAATATAATAATTTTCCATTAAAAGAGTTATCTCATCCTAGTTAGTGGAAGCGATATACTAGGTCAGTTTACATTTTCAATAGTATTAATAAAAAGAAAGCTCTTTAAGTAATCACCTACGGGGTTTAGCTTTTCTTCCAGTCTGTAATACTCATCATCATCATCAGCTTTATTGAAGAGGTCCATACTGTATTGCTTTATTCACTAAACCGTTTGTCTGTCTGTTCACAGGAGCGATCACCAGAGGCTGTCGGACATCTTTGTTCAGAAGGGTCCTTACCTGAAGATGTACTCCACCTACATCAGACAGTTTGACAACAACGTGGCTCTGTTGGACGAGCAGTGCAGGAAAAACACCGCCTTCGCCGCTGTCGTCAAAGAGTTCGAGGTAAAACTGCAAATACTGCTCTTAATACAAGGATGAGTGAGACTATAAATATGTACTGTGTCGGGTACATGTGTGTGAGAGTTTTATTCTAAACCTTTTTTACACTGTTTTTATTCAGTGTGTTTTCTAACAGAAGTTAGAAGTCTTTTCTTAATTTTTTATTTTTTACAGCTGTAATACAAGGCTTTTTCTGGTCTATAAATGAAATTGGACTACAATTTGAATTTCTGTTGTGTCATTTCAACAACTAATCACTTAGGAAACTCAGTACATCAGCATTGTTTTTAAAGACGGACTTTAATGGGGATTGTTTATGTTGCTTTATGTGAAAATACTGTTTTAGATGCATCTACACCTGCACAGTTACTACAGGCTTTTAAATATACTGACGATGTCTGGTGCTTCAATCAAGAATTTGAATTGGTAGCAGCCATTACTTTACTTCTATCTGCAACGGTTAACTGGAAGCGTCTGTGTTCGTTTTGTCTCAGATGAGTCCAAGATGTGCGAGCCTGGCTCTGAAGCACTACCTGCTGAAGCCAGTGCAGAGGATCCCTCAGTACCAGCTGCTGCTCACAGGTACACACACACACACACACACACACACACACACACACACACACACACACACACACACACACACACACAGAGAGAATCCTCGTTCTACATCCTCTGCACACTGAAGGTCAAAGGGTTTATTGAATCATGAATCTTTATTGACTGGAACTCTGGACTCAAGTCTTTGTTTTGGTTCCATACTGGCACCCAGTGGAGAGTTGGGGTACTGTAAACCTGAGGAGTTCGACTCGAGACAAATCCTGCAGAAAAATCTTTAATATAGAACATATTTGTAAAAGGCTGGCTGCAAACTTAGGAATGTGAAATAAAACTATTATCATATAATAAAGGATGTAATAAAATAAGTTACCTTTTGTCGTATATGTTTTTATGTTTCCCCAAGGCTGTTAATTCGTTTTTTTTCCTTTATAATAACTTGAAACTTATTTTCCAGATTATCTAAAGAACCTTCCAGAGGACTCTGAGGATTATAAAGACACCCAAGGTTTGAAAATACTCATTATTAACGTTTAACAGGACAATCATATGTGCTCTTTAAAGAGAAAATGTATGCACAACACTAATGTGTGATCTTTGCTATCTGTGCAGCGGCCCTCGGCATAGTGAAAGAAGTGGCCAACCACGCTAATGACATCATGAAACAAGGGGTAAGACCTTATTCCACATAAAGGTTCGGTCTACTCTAGCCGTGTGTTTCTCCTCACTTCTCTGATTGTCTTTCTCAGGATAACTTTCAGAAGCTGATGCAGATTCAGTACAGCCTCAACGGCCACCATGAGATCGTTCAGCCAGGCAGGGTGAGTATCAGAAATGTTTTTTTAAGGATTTTAAGTTCCTACTGAGGCCGGGAGACTTTTCACACGGGTGTCAATTCTCTCAGGTGGCTGCCAAATACCAGTGTTACTCATTTAATTGGCCTATGTGTAACAGATACAACAGTGTCATGAATAATGGGGCATGTTCTCAGTGCCAAAAATCACTTTTCATCATTGTGCATTGGTTATTTAATTCTTTTTATAGACTGATCAAATGTTTTTATAGACTGATCAAATGTTTTTATTCAGCCACTGACTCTACCTGTTTTATGCAGCCCATTTAAAACAAACATGTCTATATTTGCAGGTGTTTCTGAAGGAGGGCACTCTAATGAAGCTTTCCAGGAAAGTCATGCAGCCTCGCGTATTCTTCCTGGTGAGTAATTTAGTTTTAAATATCTGTAAGCTATCCCCTTTTTCCTCTCAAAATGGAGTTAATTTAATTCAATGAATTCTGTGAATCTGTCTGTGTTTTCTTCCTAATTGTTTGTGTTTTCTTCAGTTCAATGATGCACTCATGTACACCACTCCCGTCCAGTCCGGCCAGTATAAACTCAACAGCGTCCTCTCTCTGGCCGGGATGAAGGTGAGAGACTCTCTGCAAACCTATCACACTGTGACGGTGGCCCAAACACATTTCATCCATTTTATTTCTGTATGTTCTTTTATTGCTAGCCAGAGGATTTACACAAATAGAACTACAAATACTTGCCTGTTTTGACCCTACATCACTGCACAATCAAATGTCTTTATGGGGGGGGGGGGGGGGGGAATCAAGTTTCAAATCAATTCCCATTAGCTTGTGAAAGAATCTTGTACTTAACTTTTCATTTATATTTTAGTATGAATAAATACACCTGTCATCAGTTTTTACTTCCAATGTTTATTTAATATGTTAAGATTTTTTTATACTGACATTTCTTCATATGTGTATCTGCACTGAAACATGGACTCCTGTGAATTATTTAGGCTGTAGTAGCAGTTTGTGAACATTGCTCATACATTTTCAAGGTGCACAATCTCTGTTATTTATGGGTTTCTGTGTTTGTAATTCTCCAGGTGAGTAAACCGAGCCAGGAGGCCTATCAGAACGAGCTGAACATCGAAAGCGTTGAACGTTCTTTCATCCTGTCAGCCAGGTCAGCACGCAGCCTCCGTAATCATCACAGTCTGCTCATAAGTAGCTATAAATATTTATAAATGTATTACTTGTGTTTGCTGTAGCTGAGAGTAGCTGATGTGTGTTTATGCTTGCAGCTCGGCTACAGAGAGAGACAAGTGGCTGGAGGCCATCGCTAAGGCCATAGACGACTACACCAAGAAGAAAATCACCTTCATATCCAGTCGAAGTCAGGAGGAGGTAAAGCTGCAAATCTCTGCGGGTGTTTGTAGAGTGTATCTGAAAAACATGTCAGGCTGCAGCTACATATTATTTACATGATCAATTCATTATTTGTCATATGAATTGACTTTACAAGCATCCAGGACTGTACATACAGAAAACCTGCACTCTTTTTACAAGACTTTAACCTGCACTCACATCTGAACACTTATGTAAATATATTTAACATATTCATTCAAATGCTTAACGTTTTACTTTGATATCTTGTTTAAAAAGTTACTTCATCACTTTTTTTTTTTTTACTTTTTTTTTAAATCTGCATTTTTTTCTTTTTTTTTCTTCTTTGGATCACATTTCAACTTCAGTGTACATATACATTATGTAGTTAAATAGTTGTACAGAGTGGTCCGTCTTTCTTTCTTTTTCTTGACAAGACAACAACAATAAGCACACAATAACATGGGGTGTTTTCTTTACAATATAAAACATTGACAGTATAGATCCTTAAATAAAATATTCAAACAGTTAGACAAAAGAAGGGCGTATCGGGGTAATATACACTTTCCATTTCTCCCAAATGTCCTCAAATCTATGTTCCTGGAGCCTCAAAGAGAAGGTTATTCTTTCCATTACAAATATTTCATAAATGATATCATACCAATCATCTATAGATGGGCTGTTTGGTTTGAGCCAATTCTTTGTGATTGCTTTCCTGGCGGCTACACTCAACATCCCAAACAAGTATTTTGTTTTAATATTTGTGGATGTTGAGTGCAGGAAACCAAAGAGGAGTTCATCCCAATTAAAATAAATGTTTTTTCCAAATATGATGACAATTTCTTTATAAACCTTATGCCAAAAGGTATTTACTACTGGGCAATCCCAGAGCACGTGGTAATGGTTTGCTTCCTGGGAGCCACAATTTCTCCAGCAGCTGAAAGAACCAGCATGGTGAGACTGCTGAGCGGGCGTGATAAAAAATCTAGTGAGACTCTTCCAGGCGAACGCTCTCCATGAGGAGGAGCTTGTTATTCTCCATTGGAATTCACAATAGTTGATCCAGATTTCCTCTGGAATACAACTGTTAGTTTCCCTTTCCCATTTTAGTTTTATGTATATGGTACTTGTTTTTTTAATCTCCTGGAGTCCCTTATATATTCTTGATATCACTTTGAGCCCTGAATCTGTACCATATGCACCAATAAATACTTTCAGTAAGTTGTTTTCGAACGCCCTCTGGTTCTCTAGCATAGAACTGTTTATGTGGTGGCGTACCTGAAGGAATCTGACAAAGTCACTGTTATTTAGCCCATGTTGTATTTTCAACGTTTGAAAATTGTTCAGTGTCCCCCGATTAAAAAAAGTACAGTAGGAAGGAAGAGAGGCCCCGATCAGCCCATCCCTTATAACTTGCGTCTAGCTTATTCGGGGTAAAGTCGAGATCATGGGAGCACCATTTCAGGATCTTTATCTCTTCAAGCAAGCCACTCTTTGTTATAACCTTTAACCATGTTTTCAGAGTCAGATTGATCCACTTATTACCCGTTTCCATTAGGTTTTTAATTAGTCTTTTATCCCCTAATCGTGCCTGTATTGGAACTGCCCCGGACACCCTCTCTTCAATTTCTTTCCATCTTGCTTGGTAATCTGATTTACACCAACAGAACAAAATCCTCAATTGGGCCGATATATAATAGTCTTTTAAACAGGGCAGTGCAACACCTCCCTTGTTCTTAGCCAATTGAAGAGTTTGAAATCGTATTCTCGTTTTTTTTCCCTGCCAAATGTAGCGCGAAATTAATTTGTCCCATTCGTTCAATTGTTTATCTGTTATTTCTATTGGAAGAGTTTGAAACAAATATAATATCCTAGGCAAGACATTCATTTTAACTGATTCAATTCGTGATTCAAAACTTAATATTGGAATAAAATTCCATCTCTTTATGTCTTCCTTAATTTTTTTAATCAACAGATTAAAATTCAAGTCATACAATTTTGTGAGGTCTTTTGGGATGTTAACTCCTAGGTATTTGATGTGATCCAGATCCCAGTTTAATTGGATATTTGACTTTAGAATCTGGCTAGGCCTATAATTAAAACTTAATATTTGGGTCTTTTGAATATTCAATTTATAACCTGAGACGGAGCTAAAGTCATCTAGGAATGCTAATAATTTCAAAATTGAGCTCTCTGGGTTTGACAAGTGAATTAAAACGTCATCCGCAAATAATGACATTTTATGTTCTCTGCCTTGTATTTTTATGCCAGCAACATTATTTTCCTGACTAACCCCCTGGCTTAAAGCCTCAATAAATATTGCAAATAATAATGGACTTATTGGACAGCCTTGTCTGGTCCCTCTTTCCAGGCCGAATGATGCTGATATGTCCCCATTTATTTTTATTTTTGCCCTTGGGTCATTATAAAGTGCTTGAATGGTTCTAATAAACGATGGGTGAAATCCAAATTTCTGTAATGTTCTATACAAGAATTCCCAATTGACTCGATCGAAAGCCTTTTCCGCATTAAGACTCAATAATACTGCCTCAATTTTATTTTTATTTATATGTTCAATCACATGTAAGGTTCGCCGGATGTTATCTTGGGTCTGCCTTTGCTGAATGAAGCCTGTCTGGTCTAGACTTATTATCCGGGGGAGGATCTTATCAAGTCTCTTTGCTAAAATATGGGTAAAAATCTTATAGTTTTGATTCAATACACTTATCGGACGATAATTCCCACATTCAAGTTTATCTTTACCCTCTTTTGGAATCAGGGAAATCACCGCTTCTTTCCAAGAAGGAGGGGTTACTCCCGTTTTAAGCACATGGTTAAATGAGGCCTTCCCAGAGGGAAAGCCATCAGGTCCTGCTGCCTTATTAGGTTTTAAGTGTGATATTGCCCTCTTGATCTCTTCATCCGTAATTTCACTAGTTAGGAGCTTATTCTGTTCTTCCCCGACTTTAGGCAGGTTTATCCTTTCAAAAAAGGCTTTCATCTTTGTTTTATCTATTTCAGGTTGAGTATATCATTTTTTATAAAAGGTCTCAAATGATTGTTGTATATCCTTTATTTTGCAATGGGTAGAGTTGGTAGTAGGGTCCTTTATTTTATAAATTGTGTTTTCTGCTTGTTGTTTCTTCAATTTGTAAGCAAGTAATTTAGCAGATCTTCCCCCTGCTTCATAATATCTTTGTTTTAGAAAAATCATCTTTTTTTTAATGTCGTTTGAATAGATTTCATTCAACTCATTCTTTTGCCTTGCTATCTCCATTTTTGTTCCTTGATTCTGTGTCTTTTTATGTTCGTTCTCTAATTTTTCCAATTCTGTTTGTAACCTATCCAATTTTTCTTTTCTCTGCTTTTTTAAACGGGAACAATAGCCTATAATTTTCCCCCTAAGAACAGCTTTGCTTGCGTCCCATAGAATCTGCGGTGACACTTCGCCGTTATCATTTTCATCTAGATACATTGTAATGTCCGTCCTTATTTGCTGCCTCATTTGATTTAACATCCCTGTGTTTAGCCTCCAGATTGTGTTTTTCTTGTCAGGCCCTAATAATACATTTATATATACCGGAGTGTGGTCAGATAGATCCAATTTTTCACTCTATGTAGGTCTCTTTGAAACACAAAGAAATAGTCAAGCCTAGAATACAGTGAGAAAAGAAGGTATAGTCTCTCTTTGTCGGATTCAACTCCCTCCATATGTCTGACCCCCAAAACACACCAGGAGCATCTGCGTCGCGTTACGGCCGCGCCGCGGCGGTCGTAAGGATCGCGGCCACTCTAGTCAATGGGTGCTATTACACCACACGCGCCGCGTTACGGCTCAGACGCGTCCCAGAAGCGGCTCGGCGCAGCGCTTCTCTAAAATTAGGATGAATCCTATTTTTGCCGCGGCGCAGCCGTAAGGTAAACTCCTCCCCCCATCCCCCTGTAGTCTTTCAAGTAGGAGAATACATGCCAGCGTTCTTCTCCGGTTTACAGGCACTGTAAATGATATATATATATAGAATAATTATGATGATGAATGCATATTTTTTTACCACTAAAATACAGCAACACATCTTTGATTCATGTCGTTTATAACTGGAATATTACAATTATTATTAACTGTGTCTGTAGTCTACAACACAACAAAATAGGAAATAACAACAATAAACACGATTTAAACAGACACAAACATAAACCATTTAACTACGTATAGCCTACTTACTTGTAGAAGTACAAATGTCCAGGAAATATTCCAAAATCAACAACAACTGCGAGGCTGCACACACAACGCTCCGCTTACGCAACGTTTTGAAACGCGTCTGGTGTGTGTTGACGCAGGAGGAGGTCGCAGCGTGGCGCAGCCGCAACGTAACACGGCGCAGACGCTCCTGGTGTGTTTTGGGGGTGAGAGTCCCAGCTCTTCCATCATTAATTTTATATTTCTTGTGGTTTTTTTCTCTCCTGAGTGATACGCTTTTGATGTGTCCAGGGTTGGGTGGAGTCTAACATTAAGGTCACCCCCACAAATGAGGATGCCCCGGGCCTCAGCGATTAATAACTCAAACATTTCTTTATAGAATTTCCATTGAGAGCCAGGAGGGGCATACACATTCAAAAAAGTAACTAGAACTCCCTCCAGAGTCCTCCTAACCAGAACATATCTCCCCTCTTTATCTTTCTTTTCATATGTACACTCAAAGTTTAGTTTACCAGTGATCAAAATTGCAACCCCTCTCCTAGACCCCTGGCTCCAGGAAGATGAGTACTGATTTTATCTCCATTTCTTAAGTTTTTCATGCTCTATTTGTGTTAGGTGAGTCTCTTGGAGGAGAGCCACCTCTATTCATCACTTTATTTTGAATTTTTCTGTATTATTATTTAAATGTTTATTCTATTTTATCTTTATTTTTACCTTGTTTGAATCCTGTGTTTCACTCTGACCCTGTTGCTGCTATAAACGCCTGAATTTCCCCAAGGGGATAAATATAGCTCCATCTTATCTTAAATAACAAAGAAAGGTAGAACATCCTGCCATTAAACAGGCTGGAATTGATTTGTTAACCCTGCTTGAAAAAGGACGGACAAGATTAATCGATTATCCAAATATTTACCTTTTTTCTGCAAAAACACAACTTTAAATCTTGTTTTTACCATAAATATGGTGATCATTTTCCTTTTTAAATTCAACAAAAAATTATCTAGCCATTCTAAATCTGTTATGACATCCATATTAAACAAAATTAGGCTAAACTTGACTAAGTCCTTTACATTGAGAAAAGCATTTAAAAATGTGTTATCGAGTAAGAGGGAGCTATACTATATTAACCCTCGATGGAAAGCTAGCTGTAATAACAATAATCGTCTGTCTTCTCGCAGGCGGATTGTGTGGTGGACACTGGGGCCCCGCTGGGTTCGAAGGCTCCGATCTGGATCCCAGACCTGAGGGCCACCATGTGCATGATCTGCACCTGCGAGTTCACGCTCACCTGGAGGAGGCATCACTGCCGCGCCTGTGGACGGGTCAGTACCACTCCGCTCCTCCTGCAGCACATCCCTTAAATAATGAAACCCCCCCCCCCCCATTCTCATGTCAGCTACATGTGTGTCTGCAGGTGGTGTGTCAGGCGTGCTCGGCCAATAAGTACTACCTGGAGTACCTGAAGAACCAGCCTGCACGTGTGTGCGATCACTGCTTCGTCAAACTGCAGGAGAATAGTGAGTAAAGAGGGGGTTTTCTGAATTCAGCTGCAAAAAATCTGATTACAATTCTTACCAAATTGCATATTTCAAAACCAATAACACAGTGGTGAAATGTTACTAAATACTGTACTTAACTACACATTTTAGGTACCTGTAATTGAGTATTTCCATTGTATACAACTTTATATTTCTTTATACATCTTACAAAGACTTATTCAGGAACTGAATAACTCATTTTAGATTTTTGTCTTTTCATTTGATTTGTGACTACTGACAAAAACAAAAATACGGAATACAATCTTTAAAAACGTATCCTTTAATATTAAATTGATTATTTCCTTTTAGTAGAATCTTATTCATTTAAGTCTTTTTTGTTTATTTTATTTATTTTCATTGATTTCTTTTTTTTTGTAGGTGACCGCTGTGCTTCAACATCAGTTTCTCCAATGAAACCTGGAGCTTTCTCCTTCACCAGGAAACAGAAGAAGATCCCTGCTGCACTAAAAGAGGTGAGAAACAAAGATCTACACAGCTGGGATACTTTTTCTGACTAAGTTTTGGTGTAATCTTATATTTAGCGAGTAAATGTAATTTTTCTCTTGCTGTTTTTTTTGCAGGTGTCCGCCAACACTGAGAACTCCTCGATGAGCGGCTACTTAAACCGGTCGAAAGGAAACAAGAAGCAGTGGAAGAGGCTGTGGTTTGTCATCAAGAACAAAGTCCTGTACACCTACGCTGCCAGCGAGGTACTAACAGTGTTTTTCGCATTTTACTAAACTGAGTAGCTTTTTGTATCTTTTTGATTGTGTAATTGATTCTCCCTCCAGGATGTTGCTGCGTTGGAGAGTCAGCCCTTGCTCGGGTTCTTCCTGAGAGAGGAGAAGAACGGGCCGGCTCAGAAGCTGCAGTTTAAGCTGTATCACAAAAACACGCTGTTCTACATCTTCAAAGCTGACGACATCCCCACCGCACAGAGGTATCTGCACTGAAAATGGCAGACAGCGCCTGAAGATTACAGTCCTATTTGTTAGAAATACAGCAGAAGAGCAGTTGGTCTATGTGTTTACATAGCAGATAAACACTGACATTGGTCTAATAAAGAAGTAATTAAAAAAGTTACATGTATTTACTTTAATCCCTGCATTATTTTTGAATTACATAAAAAATGTGTAATGTCCACTAGTTTGAGTTAAGGTAAATAATACAATAAATGGGAGGGGCGCACTTTCAATGTGGTCGAATACACATGTACTGCTTCACCATGTTTCACCAGTTAGATGCTGTTATTGTGAAGCAGCAGTAGTAGTAAATGTTAGCCTTTCATAGCAGTTAACAAGAAAGAAAGAAAACAGAACGTTGACGAGCTGCATCATTTCCTATTGATCCTAAGTGCAATTAAATGTATATCCAAAACAGGAATGGCGTACTTGCTACAAAAAAATGTACCATATAGCGAAACTTACTACATATTTTTTTATGTTGTATGTAAATGCCTTTTGCACAATCAAATTTAAAGACAAAATATAGATATGTCTTCCCCAAATATACATTATTTATATTAGAATGTGTTTGTTCCGATGTTAGCTAATTTTCTGTTTTCTATTTTTTGTCTTCAGATGGATCGAAGCCTTCCAAGAGGCAATGATCCTCGAACAGTAATTGTGTTTTGGCAGCCTTGAAGTCACATCACAGCCCCGGAGCTAGTGGATCGAAAACGTACGACCCCCGGCTGATTTCAGGTCAGGGGTCCCCGCTCAGGAAGGACTCCGGTCGGACTGTTCACTTTAAAACAGAAATACACTGCCGAACATTACTGTATGTGGGTGGGGTGGGGGGGAACCTGACTCTAAGGACTGGAATCTGTTTCCCTACACATTATTTTCTACCAACAACAGCAGCTGAGGTCAGAGTTAATAGTTGTCAAAGGTCAAGTCCAGAAGCACGTCTGTGGAAGTGAGACAGATCAGTGGTCAGGAATATTGAAAGGAAGTCTGGGAATTATATTTAACTGCAAACGGATGAAGGAACTACTTTTTGTGTGAAACAAAATATACAAAACTGTGCGCATTCCTTCAAGCATGTTGACATTGGCTACAATAAGTATTTTAAATCCTCCTGTGTGATTTTTCTTAAAGGGAGAGTTCGGATTTTATGAAGTGACTATGGGTGAGTTTCACTTCGGTTAAATGGATTCCTTGCGTCCCTCACTTGCGTTGCTTCCCTGCGACTAGTCCCTCCCACCAGGGAAGCATGGAGAGACACAAGGAAACCACGAGAAGCAGGGAAATGAGTTTTAAGAGCAATGGGACGGCGTTTCCTCCGGAGCGTCACGTGAAGCGACGTCCGTTTGTGATGACGCCGCACAGCTGATCGTCTGACAGCAGCCAGATCAGTGCATGCGCTGCATCGTCCAATCAGTGAGCGGTAAGGGGGCGGGGCGAGTGTATGAGGATTTCAACGGAGGATGGTCTGGTAGTTCCTCGATTATCGATCCTCGGTCCTCCAGCACAAATAAGGCCACTGGGACGCTACTCAAGATGGCGCAGACAAATCAACTTCCGGTGATACCGAGACAGAGGAGCGAGGAAATGAAAAATAAGAAGTTAAACGCACCCCATGAATGAGTACCCTATACAAGCCCACTTCAAAAGATCAGAACTATGACTTTAATGCAAAATCTCAAGATGCAATTTTCAAATACACATCTCAACATGTCATCTAAATCATGGTTGCACATTATTGCGGATGTCTGTTTAAGAGTTTCAGGATGTAACAAGGTGGGATTTTACTGTGAAAATCCGCTCTTTAAAGAATCAGGAGCTGTTCTGCCCTTTAGTTTGATCTCTCTGGTTAAGAGATTTAACTCCTATATTTTTAAAGTTAACATACAAAGCATTCAAATGATGGTTTTAAAAACGACATCCTGGAGAAAACTGGAAATGTCACGAATAATGTAGATATGTTTCATACATTTTAAAATGTATTTTTGCCTGTTTAGCCACATTAGAAATGGTTAATTGGTAGAACTGTGTATATGGACATGAAAGAGCAACATTGACCTTTTTTATATCAAAGCCGAGAGCTAATATTTATAAAATAGGAAGATTTATTGTTTTAAAAGCACAGGCTGCGACTTGTTTTGGGAGTCAGGGTTTTGTAGGAAATATGTTTCCATCAGTTATTCTTTTAAAACTTAAAAGGTAACTTTTTAGAAAAAGGGGATTTTTTTTTAAAGGGCAAATACTGTGGAAAGTATGCATTAACTATATTTCTAAGGAAATGCTCCAAAGGAAGAAGACATTTTGAATTGTTGTAGACATTTGTGCCTTTTTTATCTCCTGCTTTGAGAATAATTGCAATAATATAGGTGCTCTGTTTGACAGTCTTCACTAAATCAGGACACATTTAGGCATCCAGCTTGCATGACTACTCACTTTCTAACCAGGGTACTCGAGGTTTGTAGCTTTACAAACGATCATTTATCAGGTCGGTTTCTTCTTGGTTAGGTTGCCGTATGTTGCACTACCCCATTATTTCACAGTGGGAGGAATCCAAATCCTGCTTTCTTTTAGTGAAGGAATAAAACGTTGAATTCTGTCTTTGTAGCTCTGACTGCTATTGTGTCTCATTCAGATGTGTATGTAGTGGAAATGAATCAGTAAACAGTTTCCCAGGATGCATTTCCTCATGATTGTACATTAACAGTGACCATTTGTAAAGGTCTGCTCTATCAGAGTTAGAGTCTCCTATAAACAAGGATTTTAAACTGTCAGGCAACAGTTTTAAATAAAGTATATATATAAAAAAGATCTTTCTGTCCTTCTGTATAATTTCCTGTTTTGTTGTTTTAAAGTGAACTGCAAAACCTTTTTCTCTACTTAATCACTGAGTGCAGACAATGTGTGGAAGGCAGAGTTTGTATCGTCTCCATCTCCCTGAGAAGGCCATGGTTTGAAAGATAGGGGATCTTTTACGACTCATGATGCCAAAGCTCTGGATTTGACTTCATGCTTTCCCCCCTCATCTCTCTCTAAACTGTGACTCTGGACTCCCTTTGATCCTCCCTCTTGAGCAGTAGAGAGGTAAAGCGCAATAACAAACTATTATATATTTAAACAGAGTTCAAGTCTGGGTCAGGAGACACTGGCATTTGTCTCTTCATTGTTAACATGTTTGATGTCAGTTGCTCTGAAGGATTTTAAATTAAGAGGTTACATAAGAGGGACTTAATCGCTATTCTCATTTAAACTGTACAGTTCATAGATGAACATAACAGTTTTCCTGGTCTGGGTGCAAAACAAAAGAATGAATATAGGAGGTGCAAAACAACTACAAACAAATACATATAAACTATATATCAATACATATGAATAGATAGACACAAACAAGATGGTAAGCCCAATGAGGTGTCTGATGTTTTATATGTTTTATAAACAATCGCATTTAAATCAACTCAAATCTGATTTTAGCTGTATTTTTCTCTTCCTCAAAAATAAAATTGGCTGTGATATACAATATGAAATCATATTTGCACATTCCCCAGAATATAATTTGCACACTTTTTAAACATTTACATTGTGCATATACAAATAGTACTTTATATGTATTGTCATGTTTGCTATTGTATATTTCTGTTTCTTGTATATGCACCAATACATCATAACCTGAGTCTAATTCTCTTTAATGAATGAATGAAGGTGTAGATAGAAAAAAATACTAGTGATATTTAGGCGTTTCTTTAATAATAGTTAGTATTATTCAGCACATAATATATGAATAGCATACTACATAAATACAAGTATTTATATGTGGAACTGAAGTCTCTCAAAGTGTTGTTGTACCCGGACCTGTTTTTTTTTTCTTACCGCACATCGGTCCGTCCGGTAATTGTTCCGTCTAAAGATGGCGGGGTATCTTCATGTCGTCCGAAGGGCTTTGGGACAACTAGGAGGTCATGGAGGAGTCAAAGGGTTGCTGGTTCAGTTTTTCAGGTCAGTTTATAGAAACAGTTGTATATGTCTTAATGAAACACTGGTGGGGACTCTAAGAGCTTTATAAAGATGTGTGACCTGGCTATTTCTGTCCAGAGCCGTTAGCATGTTGACAGCTAGCTAATGTTACATTACGTTAAGCAGCTACATCAAGTGAGTGGAAAGACACTCCATTGATACATATCGTAATTTAAGAGAATTAACAGCACGTCGCTTTATATCTATTTAAATCATGACTGAAGTATTATTCTATATATTCGTTATATTGTGTATTATTAATATACTCTAGTCTAGTGATATATGTATTTTCTATTGTGTATTGTATATATATATACTTGCCGCTATATACTTACTTTTTATTTTGTATTATATGTGTATCTTATTCTATCTTTTAAATATGTTTTACTCGTGGAATGCTTTATATGTATGTATCTAAACACTGGCTCGTAAGTTACTCAACATGCATTATTTATTTGAGTAACAATCATCTTGTAATTGTTTCCCTGTACTTGTAGCTTTTAGCACAATTCTTTCGCTTTGAACCAACTGTAAGTCATGGCTGAGGTTAAGTTATGATGCCACTGATGATTTAGGCTCAAATGTTAGTCTCTGAACAGTGTCAATTGTCTTTGCTAAGGAAAATGATGGAACATATTCCCTTATAGCACAGATTTGCTTCACAAATAGATGTTTATTTGAACAAAATGTCACCTTTACACTTGGTTCACGATATTTGTTTTTGCCAAGGGAAGTGTTAGCACAGATCTGCCTCACTGAGTGTGTGTGTGTGTGTGTGTTGATGCATCGACAGGGCGAATGATGTGAAGACAGGAGCCCTGATTGGTGTGGACAAATATGGAAACAAATACTTTGAGGACAGCAAAAACTACTTCTTTGGTGAGTCCAGGTTCTCTAAATGTGCATGATTTGAAACGTATGAGCAGTATACTTGTCTTGCACCAAAATAATGTTGTTTTCATGGAGGATGTTTGCAGTTGTATCACTCTGTTATAGGAATGGTTTAACAAGCAAATGATGCTTGAGATTGACACATGTTTGAATCGGTAAATAAACAGTTTTCTGTGTCAAAAATGTGTCTAGGACGCCACCGCTGGGTGCTCTACACCACAGAGATGAACGGAAAGAACACCATGTGGGAGGTGGACGGCAGCATGGTTCCAGCTGAGTGGTACGACTTGCACATTGGGAAATAACACATTATTATTATTGTCTATTAATCAAACATTATTTTCAATAAATCAATAATTGTGTATCGAACTTGAAAATAATATTTGTCAAGCCAAATGTGACATATTCTAATGTGTTGTTTTGTACGAGCAGAGGTGCAAAGGTCAATTACAATGTTCATAGGAATTGTTTGACTATTTCTGATTTTAAAAAAAGTTAATAAATCCATTGATTAATTAATGAATAAACACTTATCATTGTTGCTCTACAATTACATAGCAACGACCCACTGGAGAAATAATATTGATGTTTTGAGAACACTATTTGGCAAGTCCGCTATTCACCATAAACACGTTTTTACACATCCTAAAAAACTCCTCATGATACCTGTTCTCTAAGATGTTCAGTAAATAAAGTGGACTCTGCTGTACAGTCTTGGGAAGTAGATAAAAACGTTTTAAATAGTTGACTTAATGTAGCTTATATGTAACTTTAATAGTGTCATACAGACAGAAAATACAAATCAAGAATTAAGAGAAAGAATGAGCTCAACAGAATTAGTTATTAAACCATCTTCTTGTTCCCTGCACTCTTCAGGCACTGCTGGCTGCACTCTATGACAGACAACCCCCCCACCACTCACCCTCCAGAGCCCAAGAAGTTCCTGGCTCAGGTCCACCAGTTCAACGTGAGCGGCAGCTCGAAGCAGTACGTGCCCTTCCCCACCACCTCCAAGAAGATCCACGAGTGGGTTCCCCCCAAAGCACAGTGAACCCTCACTGCTTATTTGTAAATTATGGTATCATGTCCTGAATAAAATCTCTATACAGACCTTTATGATCCGAGTGGCATTGCTTACATTGAACTTCCCCACAGGTGGAGAAGACTGGACTTTTGGTTTAAGCTTCATTCATTGTTTATACACATTTGGTTCTAAATTCTACAGGGTCTGCCAGAGTTTCCATAAACACCAAATATATCAGGTCTTGTTTTTTCCAAAATGATGCATCGGGACTTTTTTCCATTTCAGTGAATTGTGCAGCCAAAACATTGTCATTTTCATTTATCTTCAATGCAAGATCCAATATTTCCAATATTAATATAATCTTGTTTACCGCCTTTATATATACGTTATTGATTTTTACACAGGTTTTCCTCATACTCAGATTTACCAATCCACTTAGGCTTCAACAGCATTCACATGGGCGTTTTCAATCACTGATAACATTTTAAATCAAAATCTATTATTTATGGGACTTTATAGATACAAAATCCAGCTTTTTATGTCAAAAAGTGTTTTTTAATTACTATTATAAAGGGTTTTTCTAACCATGAAAACAGCCTGGGGTCAGAGCGAGCAGCAGAGACTGAGGCAGGGACTTTCCAGCGCTGAGTGTTAATCACTGCAGATTATGCTGAGAGGGGGGAAAAGTTGCAGCATGCAGCATTTCACAGCGAGGTGTGCAGATTGTCCAAGCTGCTGGACGCTCTGTGTGAAATGACGCGGCGTGCAACACACTCGGTGTGACTCAGAGTCCCTGTGAAACTCCTGAGGAGCAGCAGAACAAGAGGTTTGTGTTTGCTTATTATTTACACTTTTTCAATGTTATCGATGGATGTCAGAGCATTTTTCCTTGTTTATATTAAATAAGATAAGCTTAAACTAATGTCCAGCAATTAATCACGGTTTCTTGTTATATATTTAAGTTTTTCTTGATTAATTTGGACCTGTTAAAGGGAGATTCTGATTTAGCTTTATGGTCTTGTTGGAGGATGATTCTGTTTGGAGGTTGAATAAATAATGGAAAACACCTCTGAAAACTTCCTGAAGTAAAAGATAACAACTGACTTGTATGCTTTCATGAAGGTTATAATTGATGCTTGATATTCGGAAGTATATGAATATAAAGTCATTTAAATAAGCTCCACCTTGGCAGTCAAAATAATGCAATATTAACTGTAATGATACATTAAAATAAAGCAACGACCCAAAATACAGACATTCTGCATAATGAGTGCATTTCATTTATTCGCTATTGTGAATAGTTTATGATGCAAATTCTTACGTTTTGAACATTTTGAAAGCAGGCCTGGCCAATTTGACTAGGAGATGTTTACATTTGTGTTTCAGAGATCTGGAGCTGTTTAAAGATGAGACTCACTGTGTCATCACTTTTACTTCGAGGGGATATTTTGGAGGAGGAAGAAGACGAAGTAAGTCACCTCAATGTAAGCTCCTGCACACACCGTGTCTGTAATAGTGTTTAATATCCAAGAGGGGGCATTGTTCCTTTAGATTTATGTCACTGCAACAATATCAAATCAGTGAGAGAGAACGAGAATGTCCTTTGGCATCCTCTGGCGTCTCTATTTAGAAACCAGAGGAGACTTTGCTTGGAGGCAGCACCTCATTCAAAATAATTGAAATTAATTAGGAGACACGCTTTGACAGATGATCATTGGCTGTTAAATGAGTGCTTAATGAACCGTTGGTTTGGTTCTCTCCTCTTCTCGCTGCAGCAGATTGCTTTTTGTCTGATTCATGCTCTGCAAAATGGAGCAGATGATCTCTCTCTGGCCTGTAGAAGTGCTGATTCAGCAGCGTGCTGAAGCTAATGCCAGCTTGGCACCAGGAAGAGGCTCAAGAGGGTCGCGTGACTCCTCTTGACGTCCTCGCTCACTTCATGTCTGGCCCTCTTTCCTCTCCCGTTTCCCCTCCTGCCAACTGTCATATCTCTTATCTGTATTCATGGTCCATCCCCCCTCCTTATCCTACTCTTCTTCCATCCCCCATCTCCTCTCTTTGACATCAATGTCTCTCCCCCCCCCCAGTCCTCTCATCTTGCATGTTTCATGGGCTTCAGTGTGGGATCCTGAGGAGTATCTCCAGGCTGCCACTCTTCGTCTGTAACTCTCCAAATGTTATTTAATTGGTGGCTACTTGATGCCTTATTATTAGCATTAGCATTTTCTTTTGCATTTCGTCCCAAATGTGTCCCTTTTCCTGTGTGTGTTTCTGCTCATACATTAAGCTAAATGTGAGGACAAATCTAGCTAAAGCCCTTGCGATTTTTTTTAATGTTCTAGTCATCTTTGTCCTTTGTTTTTTAATTCCCAGAGTTCACTTGTCACTGATGTATTATTCCTTACTTGGTCTGAACAGTAGGTGGAGCACATAGACTGTATATATAAAGTGGAGCACCTACCTACTGAACACATCATTTATTATTATTTGAAAAATCACAGCAGGTGTAACTCATTATTTTAATCACGGACAGATGACATGTAGGTGTTGCAGTTCTGCTTAATTCATGTAATCAGTAACACCTGTGCTTTTTCTGCAAACAAGTCCTGCTGAGAATACACGTAAAGTGGGCTGAAATGATATGTGCATGTCCTTTGAATAATTAGTTTAGAGAAAAGATACTGACTTTTTTTAAATTATTGTCAACAAATTAGATAAAAATACCAACATCACCAACACTGATATTCCCCTGTATCAATCAGTATCATTTCTTTAGAGCAGAAATGTTGACCATTATAGCAAAGCTCATACGTTACCGTTCAAATTATTAATATTAACGTTGCCAGTGAGCTATGACAGTGATGCATCTTTTAGATTATATTTCTAAGTGTATTTATTTGACCACATTCCTTGTTATCAATTCAATTTAAATCAAAGCTTTTTACGTCAGTAGCTAAAGCGTAGTTGTTTGCAATACAAATCTGGGCTACTCGAACAGTGCAACAGACAGTATGCTTAAGAAGAACAAAGACATAAATAGTGCAAGAATGGAATGTGACAGGTTGAACAAAATGAACTAAGGTGAAAGGTCTAAACCGTTTAATTGTTTGTCCCGAGATAAAGATAACCGTCATGACAGGACCAAGGTCTTGTGTGTCAGGCTGGGGCTGCACAGACGTCTCAGCCGGTCTCAGCAGGACACATTTATGGGATGCATTGTAAATGTTGACTATTGTTAGTTCTGGGCTTTACAGTTCAGTGAAGTTGATTAAGAACATTAAACTTAAGTTTGGCAGATTGACAAGAAGCTAAATTGACCCTGCTCTCACACCCACTTGTAAAGTATATGGCTTTGAGCATTATGAGTGTTAGCAGAGTCCAACACACACACACACACACACACACACACACACACACACACACACACACACACACACACACACTTATCTGGCTCTGCAGATAAGAAGTGGTCTCTGTCCTGCAGAGTGCGTTCACCCCTCGGGGAGAGTGAGATTCCTGCACACGTCCATTCCCCTAAATCTCCCCTCTCTCCCTCCCCCTTTCCTCCTCCATGGCTCTCCATCCTCTCTCTTCCCCCTCCTGATTGGCAGCTGAGCTTGTTTTGTGCCCCGGCCAGTGGAGGGTGGCTGATATGGATGAAAAACATTTCCGGGCTCTGGCTTCCTCATGCCTTTTAAGGTGGTCTTTTCCCCCCCAAAGTGTGTGAGAACGCAGCTCGGGACGAGGGCACGTGGCACAGGGTGAGATCTTAGGTGCACAGGGATCTGTTGGTTTGAGGGATCTGCACACAGGAAGCAAACTTATTTCGCAATAAGAGCATTACACACACACTCCTCCCTCAGAGGGTAGTCCTAAGAGGCAGACATTTCTCTCTGATGTGCAGGGGGCTGCTGAAGCTGCTGGGGCATGCACTTTGACCTCAGGCTGTGAGTAAGAGGAGGCATGAGGAAGAACTACAGCGCTAACCCGCTCATCTTTGTGACAGAGGTAGCGTTACTAAACTTGTTATCCTATACCTTCTGCCTTGTGTTGAGTTGTTTGTTTGTTTGATGTGTAGACTAGGGATTTGCTTCTGTTGCTGTCAGATGAAGTCAGTCACATGGGATCAGCAGTTCATTATTGCCCTCATGAACTCGACATGTACGTGAGTCACATGAGAAAGCTCTATATGTTAGATAGAGAAACATCCACTGAATAGTTTTCTGTGTCAAGATTGTGCAGTTTGAGAGCTGTTCAGGCTTACTGGTAGATGTTACTCTAATTATAATAGATGTTGCTTTATTTGTTCAGTTTTATACCACAGTAGACATGAGGTCTATATTATTTTCAAGGTTTTAAAGGCAGCACTGTAAAGAAAGAAGTTCATATATGTCTTGGCTCATTACAGCGGCGTTAATAGATGACTTATTTTCCGTTTTGCAAGAGCGGGGATTATGGAAGTTGTTTCTTTACAGTTTGGGGTTGAGTCAGTCGGACAAGTTTCACCACGTCTGTGTCCGTGCGCAGCTTGTGATTGGTCTTTGCTTCCTGAAGTAACATCCAAGGAATGTTCAGCTATTGATCCCCATGCACACCTCAAATTACAAGCTTGTTTTCATTTTATCTTTCTTTGTTTCTTGCGTCTCAGGTTTCTCTGATTTGTGTTTTTGTGCAGGAACTTCAGGAAGCTATGTTTGTGTTCCCCCCGTCTTTATCTGTCCATCACAATCTCAGCCTCTCTCTCACAGAGTCTGTTTCCCTGAGCCAGTGCTCGCTGTGCTTTGGGCTGCCCTTTTTGTGCTGACGCTGTGTTTCTGTGTGCATGCATTAGGTGCCTCAATCTGCCACTTTATGCACAACAAAATGCAAAAAAATGATGTTATGTAACCTTGTTCATTATAATGGGCCTCTTCCTGTCAAGCTAACAGCCTTTGCAAGTCCACAAACAAGGAAACAGTAGAAGGAACAGTCCCAGGACGTTGTTTTTTTTTTATTGCTCACCAGTTTGTTTCTGTTACGGTGCGTGTAGGAAGCAGGACCCAAATGCAGATTAAGTGACAAAAATAACTCTTTTATTTCAAGGCTAGACA